GCATGGTTTTTTATCTTTCTTTTCATTGATCCCAATTTCCTAAGAGATGTTGGAAAAGACTTATTAGAAATTCCATAGGTTTTATGGTAGAATATTTTGTATGGTAAAAAATATACCTTTCATAAAGATACATCCACCTATATTGAACCGGACCACCAAGCATAGCTTCTCGAGCTAAGTGGATAACAAGATGCTCCATTGAATCAAAGAATCCAGGTGGAAATATTTTTTCCAACTTGCAAATGGTTTCAACAATAGTAGTTTGCAAGCGTTGTAAGTCATCTACGCGTAACACCCTTGAACATATTACACGAAAGAATGTACACAACTCTGTAATTGCATCCCATGTTGAGTTTGGCACCATACCTCTTAGAGAAATAGGCAACAATCTTTGAAGAAATACATGGCACTCGTGACTCTTGAATTTGTAAAAGCTATTATCATCTACATTAACGCACCCCCCCAAGTTTGAGGCGTATCCGTCCGGGAATTTAAGTTTAATCAACCATTGGCATATTTTAGCTACTTGTTCTTTGCTCAAAGAAAACGATGCTCTCTTTTTCATATCCTTATTTCCCTTCTTCCATGTATGCCATTGCACTCGATTGCAATACATTTCTATATCTTTTCTTGCATTCATGTTGTCTTTGCTTTTTGGAGTGTCCATCACGGTGTTGAAAAGATTTTCAAACACATTTGTCTCAATGTGCATGGGATCAAGGTTGTGTCGTATTAACAACTTCCGCCAATATGGTAGCTCCCAAAAGATGCTCCTCTTAACCCAATTATGAGTAATCCCGAAACCAGGCAATTTTGCATTCTTCGCTCTAAAAGGTTTGCCTTCATAAACAGTTGGAAAGTGTCGTACTTGCTCCCAAATTTGATCACCGGTTAATATTGGTGGGGGGCTAGATCGCTCAACCTTATTAGCCAGAAATCCTATTTTATCACCCCTATATGTGTGTTGTTCAGGTAAAAATTTTCGATGGCAGTCAAACCAACATGGTTTACTACCATGGTGTAACCGAAATGACCCCGACTCACCCATACAATACGGACATGCTAACTTGCCATGTGTGCTCCATCCCGATAACATTGCATAAGCAGGAAAGTCACTAACTGTCCAAAGAAGTATAGCTTTCATTGTGAAATTGCATTTAGTCGAAGCATCATAAGTCACAATACCATCTGTATATAGCATCTTTAACTCGTCAATTAGCGGCCTGAGAAACACATCTATATTTTGACCTGGGCTCTTTTTTCCAGGAATAATTATGCTTAATTGAACATATGGTTCTTTTAAGCACATCCAAGGAGGCAAGTTATAAATTGAAAGGAAAACAGGCCAACATGAATATGGGGTTGTATTTGAGTTATTTGGACTGAACCCATCGGTGCATAGCCCAAGGCGAACATTCCGTGGTTCACTTGAAAATTCTGGATGCAATGAGTCGAAATGCTTCCAAGCCTCACCATCACTTGGATGGACCATCAAACCCGGTTCGGTCTGATGTTCATAGTGCCATTTCATTTGCTTTGCCGTCTTTTTTGTTAAATACAACCTTTGGAGTCTAGGAGCAATCGGCAAGTACCTCATAACCAGATAAGGCAGTCTGCCACTCTTGTACCGATCATGATCACACACCCGACACTTAGTCAAATCCGAATCTGCCCCATAGAATATCATGCAATGGTTTTTGCAAGCATGAATCTTTTTTTCTGGGAGTCTAATTATTTTCAAAAGCTTCTTTGTCTCATAGAAGTTCTCAACTAGTTTCTCACCTTTGGGTAGCATTCGCTTAATTATAGGAAGTATGTGATCATAGGCAGCCTCAGATATATTGTATTCTGACTTCCAATGCAACAACTCTGTTGCAGCTTGTAATTTTGAATAATTTTCACATCCATCCCACAAAGGTTCATCAACGTCTTCTAACATATCATAGAACCCCTTGGCAGTTGGATTCGGGAGTTCCTCCATTACATCCATCAACATTTGTGTACACCCATTAAGATCATCATCATCATCATCTTCCATCGGATCCTGCATCGGATTAGAAGATTCTTCCTCATGCTGAGATATCGTATTTCTTTCACCATGTGCCCACCAAGTTGTGTAATTAGGAGTGAAACCGTTTTGTAACAAGTGAAGCTCTACATCACCTCTTGTTTTATAATACATGTTCTTGCATTTAAAACAAGGACATCTAATATAATCTCCATCAACAGTTGCTTCATTAGAAAAAGCAACATCTAGAAATCCTTTGACGGATGCATGATATGCTATGCTAAGATACCCATGATCTAACCTTTTGTACATCCAATCTCTATCACTACGTGTTGACATAATGACTAGCTACAACAAAATATATAACTACTATTCAGAACCTAGATAGAGATTAGATAAAAACTAGCTACAACAAAATAAGAAGAAGTGGATGACAATAAATCCTTGGGAATAAACAAGAACCGGAAAGGAGAGAAAGTAATCAAATAAATTCTAAGTGATAGACATATAGCAAAGAATAAGATAGAGCTTTAATATGTTTACACAAGTGACTATGTTATATAATCTATTAATAAAAAAATGAAGTCATTAACATTTCAAAGTATATTCATTGTGCTTATTGTATTGTGGAGGTAAATGTTGGAGATGGATAATATTTATTCTTGTAATTTTAGTTATTTGTCATATGACTATCTTAATCATGCATATAGATTGGGTATAGATACTAAATGTTGTAATCAATCTTCATAATTACAACCAATCCATGTTTTTTTATTTTTGTTTTCCTAAATGTTGAACATGTCAATAGGCTGAATCAAAATAGATATGATGAGACAAGAGACTTGAATCAAGAAAAAGACATAAGAGAGACAAAAGAAGGTCAAAAGATGGTTGACTTTCTAAAAGTGTGATTTGTGATTGGTAATCTACTCGCATTCAGACAGTTCGTTCAGTCGATAAGTAAATACACAAAACAAGAAGGGTAAAATGGTGATTTACTCACATTAAGTCCATATGAATTAGACAAACAGAAGGGTATAGTGGTCATTTAGCACAAATGTTCTAAAAAACATTATTAAGTTATGTTGAGTTTGTAATGGTGTACCTGTCTCAGAGGAGTGACATTGATATCAGCTGCAGAAATAGATGTGGAGGAGGATGTTGAAGTTGAAGTTGAAGCTGCAGAAATAGATGTTTCAGGTTTGTTAATAAAAACATGCATTCAAAGGTTGAAAAAACTCAGCTATGATATAAAATTTGATTTGGATTGTTGGATAAATAAAACCTCCAAATCTGGTTTGTTAATAAAAACGTTGTAGATGATGACTCATAATATGAAATACCTAAAGTACCCTTGGTACAGGAAACGGGAAAAAAAAATTGGACAGCAGTTTGTGTCATCAATAATTTGTAAAGATTAATAGCAGGTAAAAACAAGGATACTTTGGGTGGAATCCATCTAAAAATAAAGAAAAGATTGCATTCAAAAATCTAAACAAATTATAAGTATTTATATTAATTTCATCTATCTCAGATCATATCGATCTTTATCCATGAGCCAATCAAGCCAACTAGTATTTGCCATTTGGCATATTTTCTTCTTGGGCTTTTTCTTATGTCATAGTTATAACTTCTCACTTCGTAAAATTCTTTTCATATGTGATTCATCATTGGGTTGGGTCGATGAAGTTTTGTTTACTGATCATATAAAATTAAATATTATTAATTTCATATTTGGGTTTAGAACTATAAGTTAAATATAATATATTGTTCATTTACTAATTTAACAAATAAAATAAGGAAATTAAGTAAAAAAACCGTATTAACAAAATAATTAAACAAGTCAACAATATGTTTAGTTTGTGACACCCATGTACCTACCTGGATAGATTTTCCCAAAATATGTAAGTTGTCAAATTAGTTTGATAAACTTAAATTCCAAATTCTATGACTATACATTTAAACTTGTCAATATTTAATCGGCGGAAATCGTGGTAAAAATGGTTAAACTTAAAAATAGCCCTTTATACAACTGTCTAAGTGAATTTTGTCTGAGGTCATCATGCTTCATATTTACAATATTTTTTGAGATATCTTGATATTTTTATTTCTATCAAGACAAGTATCAATTTTAAAAGATGTAATTAAAAGTAAATTAGTGGTAAATTAAATATCTTCATATTTTTATTTATATCAAGACAAGTATCAATTTTAAAAGATGTAATTAAAAGTAAATTAGTGGTGTATTGTCCATATGTTATTATTATATATAAGTAGAAAGATATGTAAAAAAAATGTAGAAGAGTATTTAATTTTTTATATTTTTTTTGGGTAAATTACAAAGTTGGTCCCTGATGCAAGTTTCAAATTGTACGTTAAATTCATATTTTTTTAAAATCAACTCAGGCTATCCATTATAAGTTTAAATTCATATTTTTTAAAAATCAACTCAGACTATCCATTATAAGTTTAAATGTTGCACGTTTAGTCTCTTGAAGAAAAGAAGTTTGTAACCATCACCAGAAATCTGGATCATTATGACCGTCTCTCTCTCTCTCTCTCTCTCTCTAGATCTGAGACGATCCAATTGTTAACGAAGTTCATATCTATGTCGATAAGTAAATACACAAAACAAGAAGGGTAAAATGGTGATTTACTCACATTAAGTCCATATGAATTAGACAAACAGAAGGGTATAGTGGTCATTTAGCACAAATGTTCTAAAAAACATTATTAAGTTAAGTTGAGTTTGTAATGGTGTACCTGTCTCAGAGGAGTGACATTGATATCAGCTGCAGAAATAGATGTGGAGGAGGAAGTTGAAGTTGAAGTTGAAGCTGCAGAAATAGATGTTTCAGGTTTGTTAATAAAAACATGCATTCAAGGGTTGAAAAAACTCAGCTATGATATAAAATTTGATTTGGATTGTTGGATAAATAAAACCTCCAAATTTGGTTTGTTAATAAAAACGTTGTAGATGATGACTCATAATATGAAATACCTAAAGTACCCTTGGTACAGGAAATGGGAAAAAAAAAATTGCACAGCAGTTTGTGTCATCAATAATTTGTAAAGATTAATAGCAGGTAAAAACAAGGATACTTTGGGTGGAATCCATCTAAAAATAAAGAAAAGATTGCATTCAAAAATCTAAACAAATTATAAGTATTTATATTAATTTCATCTATCTCAGATCATATCGATCTTTATTATCAGGTATTTTTTTTCCTATATTAGCAATGTGCTTATTTTCTTCTATTTTTTTTTAATAATTTGTAAATGATTATATTTTCAGGGAATGGGGAACAACATTTGTTGAGACCTGGGCAGTTTGACCGATAGGTGACAGTTGACCGGCCTGATGTTGCTGGTAGAGTCAGGATCCTTCAGGTTCGATCATGAAATTAGTCAAAAAGAAAAAAGCATCTAAAGTTTCTTATATGTTGCACAGGTGCATTCAAGGGGAAAATCACTTGCAAAAGATGTGGATTTTGATAAGGTTGCTAGGAGAACACCAGGTTTCACAGGAGCTGATTTGCAAAACCTGATGAATGAAGCAGCCATCTGAAAATTAAGTAATGAACAGAACAATTGTGTAACCACCACCACCAGGTCCACCACCACCTCCCAGAAGCAATCATTCCGATGAAATAGAGAAAGTTGAAGTGGAGCCCCCTGTTGCTCGTGTTGAGGAGGATGACATCTTTGTAGGAGAAGGAATTGACTATTCTGTCCCTAGTAAAGATATAAGCCAAAGCCCATTGTCAGAAGACATGGAAGAATCTCCTAAAAGAAAAGAGAGACCTTCCAATTTCAATGAGCCAGCTTATGGCCCTGTTCCACCCTCGGACCCATCTCAAGACTGGCAACAAACAGTGAGAAAAATAGCAAAATACTTTTATTTACTATTTTAACCTCACCTTGCTTAACAATTTACCAAATTTTTAGAATGGGTATGATGATATGCAAGTACAAGGCTATCAGGGAGAGTGGCAGTAGGAGTATCAATATGTGGAGCCGATGGGGTACCCCGAACAATATGTCCACCAAGATGGTCAAATGTATGATATGCAAGGAGGTTTGACCATAGAAGGGGACCCACATTTAATGACACAAGAAGAGAAAGATAGAGGTTTAGGGTCGGTGTTTAAGCGGGATGATACAAGGCTTCAACAATTAAGGTAAAAATATGCTCGTAAGAAAGATCCGAATTTTATATCCGAGAGCTATTCAGAATGTTATCCGGGTTATCAAGAATATAATCGTGAGGTTGTTGATAGTGATGATGAAGCTGATTTATCCAAAATGGATATGGGTGGTCGAGTAAGTGTTTTTTTTTTCATTTACAATTGTATGTTAATGGGAGATGAAATATGTTAATTATGTAATATGTATAAAACAGGAAAAGGGTTGGCTTCATAGGTGGGACTTTGAGACAGAAGAGGAATGGGCGACATTAGGAAGCCATGCCAAAAGCTGCGTTTCAGTTTGGTGTGAAGATGCAAGTTTGACCCCGAAAAACACATAGAGGCTTATTTACCTGTTAGAGTCAATGAACAGCGAGTCACAAATTTACTTCAATCTACACTTGTGGGATTTGCAGTTTTTGCTATTCCTGCTATCAGAATGATTCCCACTTCAGTTCTTTGGGGTTACTTCGCCTACATGTCAATCGATAGTCTTCCTGGAAATCAATTTTGGGAATGATTGTTGCTCTTTTTCATCCCTACTGGTCGACGTTTCAAGTAAGCCCCCTTTTGATTTGACATGAAGTAAATTCCCAATTTACCCTTCTGACGTTATTGTGGGTTTTATTTGAACAGAGTGTTGGAGTCGCTTCATGCGTCATATGTGGAATCGGTTCCATTCAAATACATAACAATGTTTACATTCAAATGTAAGGGTTCATGAATCCTTAAATTCTCATGAACTGGAAGACAAACTATGATGAATCAAGCCCTAACTCAAGTTCTAATTCTAAGTGTCTATTATTATATAGATGCAATTGATGGTAGACCTGAACCTAACTTGCAATTGATGGCATTTCATATGGCTACGAAACACAGTAACTAGAAACTTTCAAGGTAAATTAAACCCTAACAAAGTATATTGTGAAATTGAACTAAAACTAACCTAAGAGGGATGAGATTTACCTGAATCGGAGGTTAACGAAGAATACTTTCAAGTTTAAAGATATCGAGGTTGCCGAAATCGGGTGAGTAGCATCGTCATCTGCTCGAACAGAGATAGTGAGATAAAGCAGAAGCTAATTTCACTTAGTCAAGAGTGATAAATCTGGAGGGAAGTAAAGTTACACTGCCTTCGTGAAGATGGAATTGGGTGTGTCAATTTCAGCGAGAGAAAAAAAGAAAATGCGCGCACCCAAATAAAGTTTCCGTCGTCGTTCTCTCGCTAAACGCATACCATATGGCACAATTTTTTATCCCTCGCTGAACCCTAGCTAAGTGTCTTCATTTTTCGAGTGATTAGCGAGGAATAGTCGTCCGTCGTTAAATACTTGTAAGATCCGTAGCTGATCCCTCAGTAAATCCTCACTAATATTCCATATATTTAATAAATAAAATAATTATCAAAACCATGGTAGATCTGTCGTTTTTTCCTAGCTATAAGTCTAAATTTTGCTAGAGAATAAATCCGTAGCAAAATCCGTAGCTGAAACTCAAGTTTCTAGTAGTGTGTAAATGTGCAGAGACATGCTCACTCTTAAGAGCCATGCGATACTTATGCATAAAGTAAACATGGTTTTTGGGCCAAGGAGGAAGCTTAACACAATCTGAAAAGTAAGCAATAGAATCAAATTACAACCCTTTAAAAGCAGAAAAAAACAATTAAAGTCCACCTAGCTTATCTCCAAGTTGTGTGGTACCAAAATCAATTAAATTCTCATTTAATAATATCTCTGTAAGGTAAAACACCTCAGGAACCTAAGACAAAAAGAAAAGAAGGTTTTATTGTAAATTTTGGCGTAAGAAGCCAAAACCTTTTTTCAACAAACAAAAGATCAATTTTGTAGTTTTGTTATGTATTCATACTAGTTCCTTCACGTCACTCATGTCTTGCATAAGACCATTCCAAGTAGCAGGAATATCTAAAAACATTCTGTCTACATGATCAAACTTCCCACATTGTAATTGAATTGATAGAGTGGTAAATGGCTCCACTCGCATGAGGTAATACAAGACCTGTCACAAAGAAGCAAAATTTAGTTTTACACTTGCACACTGTCGATTGAAAGGTTTATAATGTCTAAATAAAGCCCCCTTATGTTGGTTATTTGAATCTTCACATATACCCCAAGCAAGTGAATTTATATCAGAAAGCATGGGATAGCTTATAAAACTACTTACAGTTTCACCTGCACAGAAGATTCATATAACTTGCATCTTAAAATCAACATAAATTAGGTTCTATCATAGGATAAGCAATTAAGATTGTTAGATTGGATGTTCACCTTTGACTAGAGGAAGAAGTAACCATTCATGGTGATATGAAAGCAGTAATATAAGCTCCCTGGTTGGGGAAAGGAAAGCTTCATGGAACTGTGCCAGGTTTACTAGCTATCAGGAAGATTCGCATTTTTGCAATTGCACAATGGCAAGGCCCTCTTCACCAAAGCTATAAGTCATGACACTTCCAATATCTTTGACTCGTATTGTCCAAAATACCCCTGAATTCTCATCACTTCAGTTATTGGGTTTCATATCATGATAAAATTCCAGAAACCCTATCTCTCCCTTCCAAAATCAGAGATTACAAATCCATATTACTGAAGATGAACTAAAGATGACGGGGATTTTTCCCTAAATCAATGGTGTTAGATGAAGAAACAGAGGAAAAGGTAGCAAGTGTGGCTGGAGAGATTGTAGATGAACGATTATAAGCACAACATACCTTTGTTAAACCGAAAGAGAAGAATCAGACCTGCTTCTCATTCAATTGAAACTAGGGATTGTAAGGAGAAGAGATTTTCATCCAGTGGAAGGTGGTGCACTTGAGTCACCTACCGGAAGATCAAGGTCACAAGCCACAGCAACACAATCACCCAACAGATACGAGTCGCAGAAGCGCCGTGACAGGAACACGTTCTGGATATGATCATCTGCAGGATGTTGAGAGACCAAAAGATCAAGATTTAATTGTGTCGTAAAGAGAGTCCGTCTTGAGCAAGGCCGTTCAATCGCGGCAAAAAATCTTTTTTGGTGGCGGTGGATCTTGATTTCTCATAGTTTTCGATGACGTGAATGTGGTCTAGGGTTTGAGCATACCCATCGTCCCAGTATTTCTTTGTCTTAATGAAGACGAAAGCTCTAGGACTTTTTGTTGAAAATTGGAAGAGGCCGGGGTTTAATTTTTGGGATACAATAGGTGGGTGAAATCTCGCCTTAAAACGCGTATTTCATTAAAAAAATTATAAGGCGACGCAGTTAGACGACACACATTTTATGAAAGGCACCTTACGCATTTCATTTTTTTCTTTTCTGACACTAATTTTAGGGCACACACAAATACGTGTTCTCTGTCCATAAAATTTTGCAAAAATGACATTATTTTTTAGGGCATGCACAAATGCGTGTCCTCTATCAGCGCGTGCCATTGTTTGCGCGTCATTAAAGGGCTGTTTTCTAGTAGTGCATAACCGAATACAATCCATAAAGGGCCGAACTTGGTGACTTAGACCCTATTGATATAGTGAGGATAACTCACCTCGCAAGTAGTGCTGAAGTACTGCAAATCTTTGACTACTATCTCCCTGGAATCCCACACTATCACACCAAAAATAATAAGTTAACACCCATCATGACCTCCTTGACTAAATATCCCGACCATGCTCATATTTTCGCAAAATACCCTAGAAGTCCCATAGTCAACCCTTGGTCAAAGTCAAAGTCAACTATCAAGGTCAACAATCCATGTTGACCTCAACTCGTCGAGTACCCTCAACTACTCGCTGAGTTCTTGGCATGACTCGCCAACTCGCCGAGTCACTTGAGTGACTCATCGAGTTCCTAGTGTTAGTGGTCGTAACTCCTTGGCCATCTCGTCGAGTTTTCTCCTTACAACTCACCACATTCATACGTGTCCAAAGGTTGGGAAAACCCTAGCCGATACACTCATCTGACTCGCCGATCCCACAATAATCTTCATCGGACTTGTCGAGTCGAGCATGCGACTCGCCGAGTCCCTTCAGTCCTTCATCCATACAGAGGCTTTTTAATCCATGCTAAGGCTACAAAATTGTAGATCCAACTTCCCAAGGCATGTTTATCATGTAAAGCTGCAAACTTTACGCTCATGCAAAGCTCTATAGTCTTAAAATGACAACACTAAACTTGTAAAGAAGTCTCACACTTCAGGGAAGGCTCATACTTGTCAAAGTTGATAACTTTATGGATCTAGAGGCCAAAGGAGTCCAGATCTGAAGTTGAAACTTCGGATCTTGGCTTAAACACAAGAAACCTTTCCTAAAACCCACCCAAAAGAGATTAAGGATGAAATGAGCCAAGGAAACAGCGTAATACCTTCAAGAGAGTGCCAACTGAAGTAGATCTTTGCTTCCCACGAGTTCCTTGCTTCAATTTACTTGTTTTTCCCAAGTGTTCCCTCACCAAGATCCCTCTTCCAAGCTTTAACACACCAAATAACACATACACACACACACACGATTTAGGGTTTCAGAGTGTCAAGAAGCTGTAAAGGGGAGGCTGGGGGAGGCCAATGATCCTTTAAATAGGGTGTAATACCCCAGAATTTAGGGTTTCATCTGCCAGCTCCTACTCGTCGAGTCCCTTCTTGGAATCAGCAAGTAGGTCACTAAAACACGTGGACCAATCTGCTGCTACTCGACGAGTAAGGCAACCAACTCATAAAGTAGACCTTGCAATAAAGAAAATTCTTATATAAAATCGATACCTGAGAATCGGGGCGTTACATTATATCTAATGGATCAGAATTGGGCATACACTCAAATTATATTTGAGATTCATATTTAATCTCAACTATATATATATATATATATATATATATATATATATATATATATATATATATATATATATATATATATATATATATATATGAGAATCGGGGCGTTACATTATATCTAATGGATCAGAATTGGGCATACACTCAAATTATATTTGAGATTCATATTTAATCTCAACTATATATATATATATATATGATCAAATGATTAAAAGGTTGAGAATGCAAGAATAATTATGAGCCTATCATTCTATAAGGGCATAAAGGAATTTTACCATGTAATTAAGTATGGATAAGTAAAGTAATTAATTAATTTCCTATAATCATGAGACATGTATTTTTTTCCCAAAATTAGAAAATGTTTTAAATCTCTTTTTTAGTTAACAAAATTAGTAAATGGATAAACTTTTATCACCAAATTCGTCCGATTTTAATCATGCGACGTGTTTTTTGTTTTCCAAATGTATATGGGAAACTGCAATAAAGTCCTTACATATTGATCACATAATTCATTTAGTCAATTTTTTTATTCAATTAAGTCCCAAAAAACTATTAATCGTATTCAATTTGACCCTTTTACCTGGTCAACAAGTCATCCAACTTTCAAAATTACATTTTTGGCACACATTTAAAAATTATAACAAATTTTTCTAAAATTTACACTTTTGCCCCAAATTTTAATTTTGAATACATATTTGGTCCAA